TTTCTGTTGAGGAATAATAAGTGGTGGCCTGTTTTAATATTTTCTACTATTTATGTTTGTGTGTTGTGCAGTTTGTTTTTCGATATTTCTATAAAATTTGAGATATTGACTATTAAATAAACTTTGTCTAAATAATACTACTGAATTGATTTTGTTGAAGTTTAAATTTAAACATAAAATAAAACGAACTCCTCCTTTTGTTGAGGTCAGTCGGTAAAATATTAAATTATTTAGCCAACTTGAACATAACTCAACTCCGTCTAAGCACAATATAATCTGTCAAATGATTAAATGCGACATCATCAATTTAAAATTATATTTAGGACCAGTCTAAAATTTACACGTGTCTTCAATTAATTTTAAATTTGACAAATTAAATTAAATCACATGTCTCTCCTATGATGGTCAGATAACATAAACAAATTGGATCAACCTATAAGGAGATTAGCTCAAGTCCATTAAACCCATCATCCACATAAGACCCACCAAAACTCTATCAATAGACAGGGTTAGATGATTAGAGAGATTCAAAAGAATTGGAGATTAAGGGCCGTCAGAATATTCAGAATCATGTACAATCATTCAAAGTCAAGCAAAGGATCCGGAGCCGACAAAACTTGAAGAATTTGAGACTTGAAGACTACGAGATGTCGAGAACATTAAATCTTATGTTCGTCAAGCAACCGACTGAATAACTCTTCTCAAGCAACAAGACTTGAAGATTTCATCAAACTACGAACTCCATCAACTACAAATTAAAGAGCTCTTCATAGGCTACAAGCTACAAGCCTCATTGTTATGTTTGTTATACTTAAAAAATATAATAATAATAAAAGAAAGAGAGTGAATATATGTTAGAAAAGTGGAATTCATTCTGAGTTGAATTAAAATGTCATGGAAAGAAAACTTCTTAGAATATAGCTTGGTTGACAGTACCCAAAAACAAATTATATGAAAATTGTAATCGCAAAACCAAGAATAAAAGTTTGTTCAAGTTAATATTTGATGTGTAATTATCCCAAGTGTTGGGAGCAACCAAATGACCTACCACGTGACAATTAACGAAGTATATGTTGCAAGTGCAAAGCCACCCAATGATATGAATTGCTTAGATAATATTAAAATAAACTTTGAACATAACTAAATTAAAAATAGATATATAAAATTTGAAATCATTGTTGAGATAAACACTTAATTTTATGAACCAATTATCCGCTCTTGTGTGAACTAATAGGAAATTACAAGTAAAGATAGTAATTTTCAAACAAGTAGAGGACAAGCAATTTAACATTGGACCGAAGTCAAAATCTCTACTATAATCAATAATTGACTATAACAAATTCTCCCTAGTCACAACTAGAGACATACAAGAATAGATATCTCGATAATTAATCATAAATCTTAGAAAAATAGAAACTTGACTAATTGATGGTCCTATTCAAGTTTAGGATTTAATTCATGAAATTGAAGCTTAACAAGTGTGGTGGGGGACTCGAACTCATAACTTTTTTTTTCTTTTTAAAAATGCCACAATCATTCTATTTAAAAGAGTATGTGGGAAATGGTGGAGATATCATAGTTATAAAAAATGTTCAATTTCGAATACCATGTTGATGCTAAGACCTTTATATCCTCCCAAAGGTGGAAGGTACGAATCAGCAAAAATTTGTTGTTCCTTTCCAACTAAACGGACCAAAAAAGCGAGCTAGCTGACAATAATATTACTCAAGAGTACGTGACCATGGTTGTTTAAAAGAGAATTTCAATTACCAGTTGAGGATAAGCTCTAGTTATTATAATAGACATGAACCACATTACACTGTCCTTTTGGAAAGACATAAGAATGGTGGCTATAAAAACCACATCCTTTGAGATGTTCCGATAGTAGCCAATCCAATCCAGACCGACCCAAGTTTCAAAAAGATGAGCAAATCATTAGTCGTGTGATCCTAATTCTTGCCATCTTCCTTGCCGCTCCTACGTATACTTTGGAGGACGGGCAAGATATTCACCTTCACAACAAACATAGACACGTATGCATCTGAACTCAATTCTTTCAGACAAGCTATACATACCGATATGAAAAAGTTCGATTACTTTCTACTGCCTACCAAATCCAACATTGTAGGAACAAATCGCTTCAAAGAAATCAGTCTTACAAATTCGGATAAGGTTACCATCAAGCTAGCTATAGATATAGTAAATATTTATGTTGTTGGATATCATACCTCAAACTCAAAGTGTCCTGGATCCTACTTTTTCAACGATCGTGAAGTCCTTCGAGTTGTGGACTTTGTGTTCAAAAATACTACGACAACAGTACTTCTATTTGGTGGGAGTTACATAGACCTTGAAAGGAATAAAGCCAGACGAGAAAATAGTACTCTTGGACTCGAAAACTTGAGCACTCTGGTTCCATTGTTGTACAACTCGAGATAGTGCTTTTTCAACTCTCTCAAAATAGAATCTATTCCAAACATATATGCCATATATGCCATGGTTCTTCACTTCGTCAGGGTACAAATATCTAAATTTTCTATTTTTAGATACTTTTTTGTGAGAATTACAATAAAATTACAGGGGCATTGGTGGTAGCCTCCATTCAGACCATTTCTGAGGGTGCAAGATTCAAGATAATTCGAGACGCAGTTAGAAGGGGGACCAGTATGGCGATCCAGTTAATGTATGGAATGTTGAGAACATAATTGTAAGACGCAACATCAAGTTGCTGCTCAACCTCCAGGGATTTCAAGCTATGTCTACACTGCCTTCTCTTCTGGACATCAAAATTATGCTGTAATGTAACTTTTTTTTAGTACAACATGTGGGGACAAGTGATCGAACTCACAATCTCGGAGATATATACCAATTACCGTTGAGCTATGCTCGCTTTGACTACTACAGTATAATTTTGAAGAAGCAGTAACGACTACGTGCTAGAATATTATATTATGTTGTGTGTGTTAGGGTTTAATTCTTAATGTTTGTGTGCAAAAATTCTCTGTATGTGTGCTTGTTTTTTCCTATTTCTGCGAGTAATAATAAGGGGAGTGTTTTAATATTTTCTAGTACTTATGCTTGTGTGGTATGGATTTTATGTTTGAGCATAATTGACTCATTGATTAAATTAGTAACAAATCATGTTTTTTGTTTCAGGAAAAGTCCGTGTGGTTTGGAACCGCTTGTCCATGTACGTATATGGGTACAATGTGCATAACCCAGATATAGGGGCACAAAGATTAAAGGGCCACCGACTCTTGGGTAATAAAAAAAATAATAATAACGTTGTGTAAATATTTTTGGTTTATCGAAAACAACCTGGTGTTATATCGATATGCCGACATTTTGTCCATGGGTCCGAGATTTACATGAGTGAATCGACATTTATATAATACTGAAAAAAATAGAAAAAAAAATATGTAAAAAAAGTATCATGAATGTGGACATTTTATATATATATATATATATATTTTAAAACAACATGCGAGGCTGAGGGATCAAACTCACAATCCCTTGGTTGGTGATATATGTCAATTATCGCTGAGCTATGCTCACTTTGAGATGTGAACATAATGTTAATAATAATACTTTTCAACTTAATGGAACAGTGTATAAAATGCTTATTTGTTCATTTAAATATTTTAAATATTATTATTTTTCAAAATATCTATAAAATTGACACCATGACGTTTGAAACATTGTATAAATAGTACTACTAAATTGATTTTGTTGAAGGATAATTTAAACATAAAAGAAAATGAACTCCTTTCGTTGAAGTCTTTCGGTAAGTATTAAATTATTTAGTCAACCTGAACATAGAAATTGGTTTAAGCGTCTATCTCCAATCAAAAGATAATAAGTTCGGATTTTCACCCCACATGTTATACTAAAAAAAATTGGATCTATATTTTTAGCGTTATAAAAGATAAACTCCCATGGTGTTACTTTATGTATGGGTTATTTGCATGTTGCAAACATCAAGTGTAATTGAATAATTATTCTGCAAAATACGTAATGAATCTAAACAATCAGCGGAAGTTAGGAAAAAAAAACAAAAATCTAAACAAAAGTCATGGGGTGTAACTTTTTTTTTCCTTTTGAATTCAACAAAACTTAACTTTCTACGGAAATCATCTTATACAATTACATCGCAACTATTTTTGGGGTCGTTTTTTGATGGGAAGAAAAATGGAGATGAGCTATCACGTTTTGCGTCTCTAAAATT